AACCTATGTCTGCTCTTATGTGTCGGCGCCGTTACGACAGCACCGATGGTGTTCGCGGGGAGTATGTGATTGTGTGCGGGGGGGTTTCTCACGATCGCCACCAAATAATTTTGTATTTTTATCATTTAAATATACAATTTTGCCTATCGTGTGAGTCGCCTATTTTATTCATGTTCCCTAATGAACATAGTGGCGACCGTGATAAATTAAAATAATGAATTCCGATTCCACCGCTTAGTACGGTTCTAAGGTCGTAGCACTTACCCCGCGTTTACAAAGTCGCGAACGCAAGTACTACGGGCTACGAGAACAAAGGAAGCCACACCGATCTACTACATCTGCTAAGAAGATTATTAAACTGGCGTACTGAGACGAGAAGAGAGAAGACAAGAGGGCAGCTATCGAGTACCGGCCAAGCTGAGGTCCAGCGGAGTCTACGCGCCACAGCAGCAGTTTTGCCAGCTAAAAGTGAGCCCGTTCCTGTTATTTAACCTCTTCGTGTCCCACTATTCCTAAAAAATTTATTTGTGTGAACAGGGAAACAAGGAATCTAATCCAATTTTTGTTGCCTCACCCAACCTACCTATTCTTAAGCAACATCCTTTATATTCCTCGTCTATCTTATACCCTTTCGCATATAAAACTGCTAATCTAAATAAATAATAATAAAATAATAATAATAATAAAATATTTATTTGCATAAAACATGGTACATTTTTAGGTCTTATAATATAATGTGAACATGCATGTTTTACCGATTTATCAGTGTGCAAATATTAAGTCGACATGCAATAATTGAATAATTAAAATTACAAAATTACAATAACGTTTCATATCAAAATTTAATAAAGCAATATAATGTCAATAAATTTATTATGTAAAAAGAGAAAAAAAATAATAAAAAATATACAGGCATGGTCATGTCATAATGCATAATGTCAAACTAGTATAATGTCAATCTTACAAATTCTAATTAATTTGTCAATTTAAAATTTCAAATAACAACAATTCGCTTGAGGTGACCGTCACGGCAGAATTTAATAAATTCATTTACGTCATAAAAACAGTGTTCAATGAGAGTCCCGAAAATAACTTTTTTAAACTGATTAAATGTCAAGTTTTGAATATGGTTTGGAAGTAAATTAAATAATCGAACGCACATGCTATAACTATTTCTAGTAAAACAAGTTGTGGCTGCCTGTGGTACAGATAACTTCCACGGGTACCTTCTCATACCACCACAATTATTATGTTGTTTTGTGAAGTGGTTAGCATTTTTTTTGGTCAATATTAAAATTTCATATATATATAGGGAAGGTAATGGAAGAATTTTTAACTTCTTAAAGAAAGGTCTACATGATTCCATTTGACCGATACCGCATATAGATCGTATACATTTCTTCTGTAGTATAAAGACACGAGAAATGTGTGTCGAATTTCCCCACAGAATCAGTCCATATCTCAGTATAGAACCAACGTATCCATGGTATGCTATCAGAGCTGTCTTAATGTTAGCTAATTTTGACAGACGATACAGAGCGAACACAAACCTATTAATCCTCTGGCATACAGTTTCAATGTGATTCTGCCATGTGAGTTCGGAATCAATCATAATACCGAGAAAGTTCGCTGATGTGGTCATAGCAATGGGATCGTTACCATGGTGTATCGATAGTTGTTGGGGTTTACCATTTTTGTTGTAAAATTGTATACACTTTGTTTTACTTGTATAAATTTTCAAATCATTATACTTTAGCCAGTTCGTTATATTTCTTATTTCATTATTTATTTCATCATTATAGTTATTGTTAGGGTTTTTATGTATAGTTATAGAAATATCGTCAGCATAGAGTGTAACAGGATATTGCTTACACTTTGGAAGGTCATTGATGTACAGAATGAAGAGTAGTGGTCCTAATATACTGCCCTGTGGGACACCTGAGTTATTCGCCCTAATCTCCGATCTGTACGTCACACTCTGACACCCATCATCCAGCCTCGGTACTTCCACATACTGAGTCCTTTCACTGATATAGCTCCTTATCCAATAAACTATTCCTACTCAATAATCCAACCAAATAAAATACCTATTAAAACAATCCTAAAAGAATTACCTAGTTAAACCTACCTACAATCTACATACCTAACGAGTTAAAATCACCTATTTACACCTATTTGCTTGCCTATCAGCTAATTGTATATTATTTCTTACTATTATTTCGCCACAGCATTTGCTAGGTAATCAGTGCTATTTTTCAAGCCGCCTATAATTTGCATTCATTGCGCCTATTTTACGACTTGAAAGTCTTCACTAGCATTTAATTAGTTAGTAGCCACTGTTAAATAGTTAGAATTTAAATAGCTGAACCTATTTCTTTAAACGTAAGCATACACATACTATGTACATAGCTACGCAAAAATTTGAGCTTAACTCCTCAATGCAAGTAAATTCACTTCTCGCTATTCACTGTTAGCTGTTTATGCACGCAAATAAATTTGTCAACACTATAGCATAATCATTCGCTAAGTCCTATATTACGCTAATTAAACTATTATTTGCACAAATCAATTAAATTTACGATCAACCTTGCTTCCCGTTATTATTTTATGTACGTAGATATCTACAAAGCATTCCAACAATCAATTTCAGCTACGGTGCAGCGGTCGCTCGAGACTATCATCGCATCCCGTGTCACTGCCAGCACTGAGGGCTCACGTCGTGGTACTGGGTCACGGGCGTCGCGCATCATCCATCCCACCTTTTACCGCGCTTCTGCTGATTTTGAACCGGTTTCCGTCACAGCAGCTACGAAGCGAGGAGCGTATCCTATGCAATTCTTATTTATTTGATTACTACAGCGCACAACTAGTTGTTTTGATTGTCTGCGCGTTAACTTTGCTAGTATGGAGGTAAAGTACAAAAATCTTAATTTAAAACGCGCTTCAATTAGAGGCCGTATTACGAAATTTAATAACCATTTAGAAGAATTAAAAGGTAAAAAGCTTACTCCTACGGAAGTTAGCGTGTTATCACAGCGATTAGTTAAACTTAAGACTTTATTTGGCGAATTCGATAACGTGCAGAATCAGATTGAAGCATTGTAGGAAAATAATATAAGCTTAGAATTGGATACCAGAGAAGTTATCGAACAAGCTTTCCACAATTCGATCGCATTGGCTCAGGAAATTATTTCCGTAAGCAGTACGACAAAAAAGTCGTCGCTTCAGCATAGCAGTATTTACACTGCTGATGAAGATGATCACGAAGTTATCGGCTTTCGTTTACCAGTCATTAAAATTAATAAATTTGATGGTACGTTCAACAAATGGTTGGAATTTCGTGATACGTTCAGTTCTCTGATACATAATAATACAAAATTAAAAAATATACACAAATTTCATTATTTAAATTCCTATCTAGAAGGTGAAACTGCTCGTGTAATATGTAATTTAGAAGTTTGCGACAATAATTATCCTGAGGCATGGAGTCTTCTTTGTGAGCGCTTTAATAATATTCGTCAATTAATAAATAATCATTTGAAATCTTTGTTTAATACTGAGCCATTACGTGAGTCTGACAAGTCATTAAGATTTCTAGTAGACTACGTCACAAAATACCTACGTGCTTTAAATACTTTAAAACAGCCAACTGATCATTGGGATACCCTGATCATATTCATAGTCTCAGCTAAATTAAACAGCAATACGCGTGTTAAATGGGAGTAGTATATTCAAGCTAATGTTAATGTTTTGGATATGCCTAGCCTAGATGATTTTATAACTTTCATTAAGGGCCGCGCTGAAGTTTTGGAGTCTGTTTACCGCAGTAAACAAGACAAAAATATAAAGTCAAACCCGAATCACAATCAAGGCATCAAACAAAACCCCGTTTCTCATACTAAGTCATTCGTTAGCACTGAGCAGGGCGACTCATCATCAACTGCGTCTCACAAGTGTATTTTCTGTAGTCAAGGTCATCGTAATTATGAGTGCTCACAATTTCAATCGAAATTATATATTGATGATAGACTTTCATTAGTGTCCGAGCTAAAGTTGTGTCCCAACTGCTTGCGCAAAGGGCATAATACTCGCGCATACAAGCTCCCAGGTACATGCAAAATATGCAAAGAACGTCACATTACCTTTTCACACAAACCTACGGTTTCTGATACCAATGTGGCAGTCACTAATGTTGCAGTCGCTGAGCCAGTTTTAATGTCAGCTGTTTCTGCTTCTGAGACACTACTATGTACGGCTTTGGTTGATATTTTTAATCCCACAACAAACAATTACATTACCACTAAAGCTCTCTTAGACAACGGTAGTCAGTCTAGCTTTATTACAGAAGCACTTAAATCAAAGTTAAATTTAACTTCTTCCACGTCCGATGTTAGGAATGTTGTCGGCATATGTAACACTATTGTCAAGCTTAATGCTGAACGTTGCAATGTTCGAATTCATTCAAAGGTTGGTCTTTCAGCGTTATGACGTCATGTTTAGTCATACCCCAAATATCAGGTAAGATACCAAGTCTCTTGTGTCTATTACACACCTTAACCTGAAGTCCTTTGAATTAGCGGACCCCAGCTTTTATGAGTCATCTGACATAGGACTGCTCATCGGTGCTGACCTATTTTGGTCCATTATTGGAACCAAACAGCACTCTTTAGGCAAAGGAAATCCTATTCTACATGAGTCTAAATTATCACAGGTTTATCGCAGGTCCCATGCACTATATTCAAAATGACAATCTCAATTTAAATCCCCCAGTGAAATGTAATTTTGTAAGTATTGAGAACAACAATACTTTAGTTGAGCTTCACAATAATTTTAAGAGGTTTTGGGAGCTTGAAAGCTTGCCACAAAGGCCCCTTCTTACAGACCAAGAGAAAGCTTGCGAACAACATTTTTTACAGCACATAAAACGCACTGAAGAAGGTCGTTTTTGTGTTAAGCTGCCATTGATCGACGAACCAGACTGCCTAGGTACTTCCTATTTCATGGCCAGGCGGCGATTTATAAGCCTGGAAAGTCGCTTTCGCAAGCAACCGGAAATTAAATCCGCCTATGTTGATTTCATTGAGGAGTATCGCAAACTAGGACATCTAGCAATATCTGAGGTAGACCGACCTGAGCTTGCCTATTTTGTTCCGCATCATCCTGTCATTCGTGAAGACAGTGAGTCAACACGTCTACGCGTCGTTTTTGACGCATCAGCTCGCACTTCATCTGGTTTGTCTATAAACGACATTCAAATGATAGGCCCTACAGTTCAAGACTCTCTTTTCAATATCCTCATCCGGTTCCGGCAATATCGTTATGTGTTGTCAGCGGATATTGAAAAAATGTACCGGCAGGGTTTAGTAAATGAATCTGACCAAAACCTGCAGCTGATTTTATGGCGGGATGCGGAGGACAAACCAATACAAACACTCAGGCTTAACACGCTCACCTACGGATTTGCTAGCGCTAGTTTCCTTGCCACCAGGTGTCTCTGGCAAGTGGGCGAGGAGTGTGAATATGACGTGATTAGGGCAGTCATACAAGAGCACATATATGTTAATGACTTACTAACTTCTCAAACGGTGGTAGAGCCACGCAGCAGTTTTTGCTGTTGCACGTATGGGCCGGCTCGAGCCGGGTTGGTACCACGACCTCACAGAATACCGGCGTGAAGTAGAGGCTCTGCTTCTGCGTTTCGTCTGGTGAGTGCAGGTGGCCAGAGGCCCAATCCCCCCCCCCCATCAACATGGTAGCGGAATTACACGAAAGACTACCCCAGGAGGGTACCAGTACACCTGGAGAATCCCTCGCTGAGCATCCACGACCATGTTATTCCAATAGCGTGGGTGCTCAGACTGCCCCGCGTATTCTGGGGGGCGGGGGGGAGGGGGGCAAATATCTGTGAATTTCTGCAACATCAGAGGACTTCACTCTAACCTAAACGCCGTCCACTATCATCTCGAGACGACGAAGCCGGCCTTGCTCTTTCTGACCGAGACGCAGGTTTCCTCTCCGGCTGATATTTCGTATCTCTCCTACCTGGGGTACAAATTGGAGCACTCCTTTGTGCCTCGGGCTGGAGTTTGCGTGTATGTCAGAGAGGACATCTGTTCTCGACGCCTCGGCAGTCTTGAAGGTTCGGACCTGTCCATCCTTTGGCTACGCGTAGACAGCGACGACCATCCGCGCGTCTACGGGTGCCTCTATAGGTCCCATAGCGGTAAAGCCGAAACAGACCGACTCATCAACCACGTCCAAATGGCTACAGATTCCTTGCGAGATCGTGATCCTTGGCGATTTTAACGCCCACCATGCCGAATGGCTCGGTACACGTTTAACCGATCATGCGGGGAGATCTGTTTATGACTTTGCCTTGGCATATGATCTGACACAACTGGTTACTTCCCCTACGCGGATTCCAGATGTGGAGTATCATACACCTTCCCTGTTGGACCTTCTGCTGACCTCTCATCCGGACGGATATCAGGTTTCCGTCGATGCCCCTCTCGGCTCTTCGGACCATTGTCTGATCCGGAGTGTGGTGCCACTCACGCTCCCTTCGCGGTTGCGTTCTGTAGGTTGCCGCCATGTTTGGCATTACAGGTCGGCGGATTGGGACGAAATGCGGTCTTTCTTTGCATCCTACCCATGGGGGCGGGTTTGCTTCTCGCCGGATGATCCCAGTGCTGTTGCTGACTCTGTCACTGATGTGTTGCTACAGGGAATGGAACTATTTATTCCATCATATGTGGTACCCATCGGAGGCAGATCTCAGCCGTGGTTTGGTAGCTCCTGTAAGACTGCATTACGCAGTAAGCAGGAGAGTTATCAAGCCTGGGCTGCGGCTTCGGCGACTTGGGATGTAAATACCAGCACACTTAAAAAGAAGTATAACTTCGCCTCCAGGTCCTTCAAAAGAGTTATTGCCAAGGCAAAGTCATAGCACATAGTCAGAATTGGCAAGAAACTAGTTCGCCTTCCTTCGGGAACCCGTGCATTCTGGTTTCTCGCCAAGGCTGTCCAAGGGAATTTCTGTAAGTCATCACTATCATCTCTGCACAGGGAAGACGACTCACTGGCCCAAGACGCAAAAGACAAAGCTGACCTTTTAGGCTCCCTTTTTGCGTCCAACTCGACTCTTGATGACGGGGGGAAAACACCGCCGACCATCCCGCGGTGTGGTGAGTGCTCCATGCCAGATGTGCTGTTTTCACAGCGCTTGGTTCGCAAAGCACTTCTCTCCCTAGACATCCAGAAGTCGAGTGGGCCTGACGGAATCCCCCCAATTGTGCTGAGGACGTGTGCTCCAGAGTCGGCACTGGTCCTAACGCGTCTTTTCCGGTACTCCTACTCTCAAGGCGTAGTCCCGAATTCATGGAAGACAGCTTTTGTCCACCCGATCCCTAAAAAAGGCGACCGCTCAGACCCGTCCAACTATAGGCCTATCGCGATCACCTCCTTGTTCTCCAAAATAATGGAATCTTAACTGCCAGATCAACCGGTACCTTGAGGATCATCAGCTGATTAGTGACCGCCAATAAGGTTTTCGTCGGGGTCGATCAACTGGTGATCTTCTGGTCTACCTGACCCATAGATGGGCTTCTATATAAAAAAAATACTTCTAGCGATGATGAAGATCAATTACGGTCTATACAGAAATCAACACATATGGCTCTTTCTATGGCTGGTTTTAATTTACGTAAGTACCGATCCAACTTACCTTCTTTACTGCCTTCAGACGTTGTCCAGTCATCCGGCAACCTGACATTGAGTCAGTCTACAAATACGCTGGGCCTAGATTGGAGTCCTTCGACCGACAGCATTAATTTTCCCATTGCAGTGGATCAGTCTGAGATCGTCACTAAGCGCACTATACTTTCTTCAACTTTCAAGATCTTCGATCCCTTGGGGCTCATATCCTTGTCCACTATCGTTCCCAAAAGTTTAATTCAGACCTTATGGTCTCTCAAATTGGACTGGGATGAGCCCGCTCCAAAGGAAATTGTCGATGTCTGGAGACCTTTTGTTGATGGACTTGAATGCCTTTTTTCACTAAATATACCTAGATGGGTATCAATAGAATATCCAGTCTCTATTGAAATCCACTGTTTTTGCGATGCATCGCAACGCGCCTATGGTGCATGTTCGTACCTTCGCTCCACAAATAAAAAAGGACAAATACATGTCCAACTTTTGTGTGCGAAATCTCGCGTTGCTCCAGCATCCAGCCCTATTACAATTCCTCGTTTGGAGCTTTCAGGTGCTCTTCTTGCAGCTGAAATGAGCTCATCTGTGACCAAAGCCTTGCGACGTAAAATATCGCGTCATGTCCATTGGACTGACTCGAGCGTAGTTCTTAGTTGTTTGTGCTGCGGTTCTTCTAACTTGAAAGCATTCGTTGCCAACAGAGTCAACGCCATTAGAGAGTTTACTGACGCAAATTCATGGCACCACGTTCCTACAGAACACAACCCAGCTGACCTGCTATCCCGTGGCGTAAATCCACAACAGATCACTGCATGTGATATGTGGTGATATGGACCTAAGTTTTTATTGTTGCCGGAGTCCGAGTGGCCTTCTATGCAATCGCAGACTATTATTGAGATGAAGAATTTGCCGGAAATTAAAGCACATCCAGTTGCTATTTGTGATAATTATCAATCAATTATTAACTTTAACAAATATTCTAAATTAAAACAATCACAACATATTTTAGCCTATGTACATAGATTTATTAATAACTGTAAAAATTCAAAAACTAAAGCTACAGGTTCCTTAGTTACCGCCGAGCTCAATAAAGCTCTTAACTCATTAATCTATATTTCCCAATTAGAGGCATTTCCTAAAGAATTCGATTTATTATTAAAAGGAAATCCCCTAAGCAATAAGTCGCACATTACGGTACTTAATCCCTTTTTACATGAAGGAGTGATAAGAGTGGGTGGTCGAATTCAGGCTTCTGAATATAGTTTCGATATGAAGCATCCCATGTTGTTAAGCTCTAAACACCATTTTACTCAATTACTTTTATTCCAACAAGAACATGTACGGCTTCTACATCTAGGGCCCCAAGCCTTACTGGCTTCTATTAGAACGCGTTTTTGGCCCATTAGTGGAAGAAGTCTGGCTAGACGTACTGTGCATAATTGCACCGTATGTAGGCGTTTTAAGGCTCAGTCTATGAAAACCATTATGGGCAACCTACCTGCTCAAAGGCTAATGCCCGACTTTCCTTTTATTACAGTAGGGACTTTTAAATAAAACTAATTTTACGGATTTTATCGCGTATATTAACTTATTTTACATTCCCGACGTTTCAAGCACTTTACAGCACCCATGGTCACGGGGGGGACTGAGGTGTATGACGTCCCAATGTCATAGTTAACCACGGCTACCTCCAGATTAAAAATTATTAATTTTTGTTCCGATCTACGCAGTATGAACTTACAGTATCATGAAGTCTTGCAGTTTTATGCTTGGGTTGGGATTTAATTTTATTAATTATGGGATCCCAAGCAGATGTTAGCACCCAGCCATCTTCTCTATTGAGATTAGGATGTTTTTTGATTTCAATAGCCTCGCGAATCATCCTTGGAAGGAATCGTTGTTCTTTAGCGAGGATTTGTGGTCTATCAAATCTAATGTAATGACGGGGCGATCCTGTACATGTTCACAGACTGCAGACTTCCCGGAGCGTCTATTCTTCACATCAGCTATGTGTTCTTTAACGCGGGTTTTTATAGATCTTTTAGTATGTCCTATATAAGAGAGACCACATTCACAATCCAGCTTGTACACTCCTGCATCTTGCAGAGGAATATTACACTTGACTGATGGTATAAACTGACTAATCTTCTTCGGTGGCTTGAAAAATGTTTTAATGGAAGCACGCTTCAAGATGTAGCCAATCTTGTCAGTGACACCTCTGACATATGGCAGTACAGCAGGCACTCGCTCTACTGTGGCCGGCTTCACTCGTTCACTGTGACGTAGGCGTGGGACCCGAAGCTTATTGTCGTGCAAAACATGCTTGACGTGTTGGAGCTCGGCGGCCAGGTGTTTACTGTCACCGATCCCTCGTGCTCTCTGAAATAAAGATTTACCCACGGTAGCTAACTGTGAAGGATGGTGGTGAGAATCACCGTTTAAATATCTATCTGTATGGGTCTTTTGTCTATACACAGTGTGGCTCAAGGTGTTATCAGGATTCTGAATTACTAACACAACTAGAAAAGCTAAAGAATTGTTTGCCTCTAACTCCATTGTGAACTGAATTTTAGAATTTAAGGAGTTAAGATGGTCTAAAAATGCAGTTACTTTATCTAAAGGTAGAATTGTGAAAGTGTCGTCTACGTACCGCTTGTAGAATCTTGGGTTTATGGGAAAAGTAAGCAGGGCTTTCTCCTCAAAGTCCTCCATGAATATATCGGCAACAAAGGGAAATACAGGTGAGCCCATCGCCACTCCATCTACTTGCTTGTAGAACTCCTCCTTCCACAATAGGTAGCCAGATGTAAGGCAGTGTCTCAGTAATACTGCATATTCTACGGGCATGTTGTTTTCCTCTAGCCTTCTAGTAACAATCGAGATGCAGTCTTCAACAGGTAGGCATGTGAACAGAGACTGCACATCAAAACTCACCATAGTTTCATTGTCTGCCAGATGTAGGTCT